AGGCCCTGACATGGCCCAGGGGTGGTGGAGAGCCAACACCATGCCTCCCCCTAAGGTACATTCTAAGGCAAACTTGACTTGGCAGGCTGAACGTCGAAAGTGGCGAGGAGTCACTCGCCAACGTAGAGTGCACGTTTGAACTCCGATTGACACGAAACTTGGCATGCTTACATATCTCACTAATATGCATCTAACTCTAAAGCTGCTCGTCCAAACTCTGGACGGAACCCCGACTTCTAGGGTCGTGGCCCAGGGCCCCAACTGGCCCCCGTTGAGCTTGTCACGGACACCACTGACATCGTCTTCGCCTTGCATTCTGCATATGCCTTCTCTAGGCATTCTTAAGTACATCCATATGGTGTGTTAGGTGATGCACCATCCTCCTTGGTCGCATCACGGCACTTCACTTATCAGCCCTCAACATGGCCCGATGAGCGACATATGCTTGTCGACGACGCTTGCACACTTGGTGAGGGTCTCAACCCACTCTCTTATAGTAGGGTTGAGACACTAGGCATAATTGGTATTTTCTTCAATTTTATTTCTACACTTCCAAGAATAATTACTGAATTTATGGCAATTATAACATTCAATCAAACTTTTGTCATACCATCTGTCATGTCCTCTTCATGAATTGGAGTTGAAATTATTCCCATCAAACTTTCTTTCCCAAAGTTTCCTCAACCACGGCCTCTAAAGTCGTGATGTCCATGATTTGATCTACCACCACATTGACCATGATAACCTTTTTCTTGTCTATCTTCTTTATCTTTTAACTACAACTTTGATAGAAAGAATTGCTTAGTTGTTTGTTATTCCTTCTTGAGAAGCCATAGGATCAAAATCCATCCGCTTATCAACCAGCCAACTAAAGGTCGATCAAGATCAACAAACTAGACCAAGATCAACATGCTAGAGTCAACAAGCTAGAGGTTAATCAAGATCACATCAAGCAGAGGTCGATCAAGATCTATGTCAAGCAGAGATCGATCAAGATCCACATCAAGCAAAGACCGATCAAGATCATCATTAAGCCACAAGAGGTCAATGCCGAGCACTAAATTCCATTTCACCCATCCAAACCACCCACTGCTCCACCACTCCAACGACCAAGATTACAATTTTGACCTCACAAATACTGCGTCGGAGTCAAACAATGCACTGGATCTTGATGCTTTTCACCATCTTTAGTGACATTTCGGTGGAGGGAGGAAGAGAAAGAAGAGAACTGAGGTATGCATTTGGGTTTCCACAAGATGAGGGAGAGAGAAAAAGATTAGGGTTTGCAAGGGAGGAGGGAATCAAGGGATTTCACAAATTAAAAATTTTCTTTTTTCGTGTGTGTTTATATATATATTTGTTTATTGAAAATATATCACCGTGGACTCCCTCCTAAACAGACTTCTATATTGCCAAAAGTGTAAATATTTGAGATCTTAGACACTTTTATATAAAAGGTTAAAAATAGGCTAATTGTGTACGGTGCTTAGCCTGAGTTTGATTGGATGGGAGGGATCTCCTTTTTATCGTTGGAGTGGTCGGTTCCAATCCTTAGAGCCCTCTATTAGATTACTGTGAAGCTCCCAAGGATGAGAATTATATTGGGAGTGGTGCAATCCAAGTTGAGGCTATCATGGAGGCTTGGTGGGAAAAGGGTTGGAAGAAGCTCTTATCTAATCTAAACCACTAAAAAGAAGGAAAAAAAAAACATGAGAAGCATAAAATCAACATGTAAAACTCTGACCCACAAGCTGACAAACTTAAAGATATTGAAATCTACTGATTACGAGATGTTCAACTATTACTAAGCCACCATAAAGTGATGAAAAAGTCATAGATGCTTTAATTGATTGTATAAGGTCCTTATATCTATAATAGCAAATGCTTGACCTCAGTTTAGTTAGGATTTTTGTTGGCAGTTGAAGGGCCAAACTAGCATATTTAGAAACGAGTTAAAGGGCAAAGGCAGAGTAAAAATTAGTGTCCCTTTTTTCCTTGTTAGGGGGAGGGGGAGGATAAAAAGCACGTGGATCTTCCAGAGAAGAAAGACTGGCTGGCATTAGGTAAAATATGTCATTCCAAATTACACAATCGAGTCAAATTCACAAGACTCCCAAAAATTAAGCATTTTACTTATTTAGAGCCAATGGCAAATGACAGTTTCGGCCGTGATTTGTTTTTACCCAACAGTTTCATCTGGTTAAGTTTCTGTTCCTCTTCTTCCTGTTTTTTCCTCTTAATAGCTTCTTCTTTTTGCCTTTGTAGCTCTTCTAGTTCCCTATATCTTTCCTCCTCTCTCTTCTGTCTCTCTAAAGCTTCCCTTCTCTGAGACTCTTCTACTCTCCTCCGGCTCTCCTCAACCATCCTTTCCAGCTCTTCCTTCTCTCTTCTACTTTGTTCCTACAAAACCAAAAAAATACCCCACATTTCTTAAACGTTACTCCCCAAACTGAATCGAACCGAACCACCATATTGATAGATAAATGTTCATACCTCTTTCCGTCTAGCCTCCATAAGGGCAGCTTCCTTTTCCTTCTCGAGTTGAGCTGTCACTTCTTCGTTCAGCCTTTTCCGTCCCTCCTCCAATTTGCGGTCTATGTCTTGCTTTATCTCCTCGGAGCTCAGGCTCTCTTCGACTTTCTTATGAATTGCCTCTTCCACTCTTTTTGCTGTTTCTTCTTCAAGCAATTTAGCATCTGCCTCCTGTTGTCGCCTGAGAGAAAGATGAGAATTTAAGAAAGCAGCTAACCACGTCTACCAAAAATGGCACCACCTGAAGCGTCCTCCAATTCAATCAACAATTAAATGACAACTGACTTTATCATGCCTCGGTCCGTTCTTTTTTCCTTTCCCGGTTTATATAAGCATATAATAAATTAACAAACTAACCTCCATGACGATAAGAGCACTAAAATATGCTTATCCTTTTAGGGCATACCTCTAACTCAATCCTGATCCATACAAAAGAGTTACAAAACTGGTGAACAGCATATTAACGATGCACCAAATTGATCATCAAATATAACAAGTCTATAGCAGTATCTTCCTCCAGAAAAGCCTGTGGAGAAGAATGTCAAGTAACCTGTCGCAGTTTTAAAACCGATCACTGGAAAAACTCAAATCCTTACGCTAGAATATTTGTTGAATGGGGAGTATATTAGTGTTTTTTCGTTTTTCTTATGTATAGAAGGAAAATCTTTTCCATGTAGCTCCAAAACATCAATAAAACGATGAAAAATGTCTGCCATTTTTGCGGTTAAGGCAAAGCTACGACCCTTAAACTAAAACAATAAGGCTTTCATGTAAAAAGAGGTTCCCTAGAGGCCTATCAACTCAAGCTAGTCAACAAATACTGTCTTCCTGAAGGTGTAACCTAACAAGTGTTGGACTGTACATATAATTCATATTAGATGTTAGCATGTGCATGATAACAGCAGACTGTTATGCACAACAACCTAACAATTGAATAAGCCACATATTACATTAGTTTATCATATTTTACAAACCCTTAAATTTAAATCAAACTATATAAATCAGTCAGTTAACCCAGTACGAAGGACACTATAAGCATCATTTCAGAACCAATTACGCACCAAGAACTATAAGGGCAGGCAAACATCAGAGATGGGATAAAAGATTCACATAGCAGAAGCTCATTATGGAGATAAAAAGGGCAGATTTCATAACATCAAACTATTAGACTCCTCCTCAGACTCCAAAAATGCATAACGATATTTCTTTGGTAAAGTTCTACATAAACAATTGAAAGAAAAATAAAATGGGTTCAGGTTAGCAAAACAAATACCTGCATCCCACTATTAGGTTTTACTTGAGTCATCTTATACTCTTAACTTGAATTAAGACGAAGGTGCCTTATAAAATAAATTAATAAAGCATCCTAATCCTTTCCCTTTATGGCCTAAACCAATTAAGCAATAAATGTTTTCAACCATATAAATGACAACCATGAGAATACAAGATTCACATATAGTGTGTTTACAGATATAGTTCTAGATCATCGATAGCACATTTATATCCCTCTCCCTCTCATTAACAATAGATACAATGAGAATTTTGCAATGTGAAAACTGAAAAGGAGATGGTCCTGCATAATAGGAAAAGTTACTTATTATATAACTCTGTAGCCATTTTCAATCATTTCCAAATTAATTTGCTGTGAAATTATAAAGAATTTCCACACACAAAATCATAGTGTTTCGAGATGCAATTCCAAATATATTGAATTGTCATCCACCTATAGGCTATAGTTTAATCAGAAGAAATCTGCACAAGCATAAGAACTGCACGTCCAGGTACACAAAAAAAGTTCTAGCAAACAGCACAAATGCAAAAATTTATGACAGTGTTTCTTGACCACATTCAACTAAACCTCAATTAGAGTTCTAGTGTTCCAAAATTCTACACTCCACAGCTGGAGTGCAGGACCCACCATTCCTTGTTGTTGACTTATCAAAAGAACCAGCATGAAAGAAGTTTCAACGGACATGGAGGTGTCTCGAAATAGAACTAATAGAATCACAATACATCTAAATGAGAAAAAAGAATCAAAACAAATGGGCACGACCCATATCCTTCCAGTAAAGAAAGAAGAACATTTAGACATTTTATGGAAAAAAAAATTAAATAGAAAACCATGTAAACAACTAGGTTATTGTCCTAACTCTATCCTTTCTAGCAAAAGACAAATCATTATTTTGAACATTTGTTAACAGATACCACAGATACTCGAACAAGAATTCACTTCATCATCCTAAAGTTAGTTAGTTACACGACACCATAATCTATAAACATTCCATCTACCATGGTTGAGAATTAGAAAGCCTGACTATGATTCTCATAATATCTTAGTTTTCTAAAGCGAAGTGTTCAAAAGGTTAATTCCCACAAAGAACTTAAACAAACTTCAAAATTCAACAAGTGAAAAGATGTTCCAAATGGTATATTGTATGATCCTGTAGATGAACCCAGGACAATTGAGAGGCAGAAAAAAGAACATAAAATCAGTGAGCCAGTAATATACCTTTTTCTCTCTTCCTCTTCCTTTTTCAATTTTTCACTGGTACTTTTTTGCTCAATGGATCCAAGGCTTGAACTAGAAGATCTATGAATCGGAGATGATGAGGAACTTCGTCGTCTCTGCTTCCTGTAATTTCTTGAACTTGGAGAACGACTTCTATGGCGTCTTGGTGTTCTTGAACGACTTCTATTACGTCTTGGGGAAATTGAGCGGCTTTTTCTTCTATATAATAAATAAGAACTATTGAGCAGGAGATAAAGACTTCACACTATAATATTATACAGAGGTATAAATATCAAGCTAGCCTACCACTTAGCACAGTACAGTTACCTCATACATTGTTAAGAATAAACCTTGTGAGCTCCTCTTTTATCACATCACATGAAGAAGCAAAGTCACAATCGAGCAATGACAGGACACCCATCAGCAACCATAACCTGGTCACTTCCCATGTAATAGGAAGAATTGCCTTATTTCTCAATTTTCTTACGAAGATCATGTCTATTCTGTTTGCTTCTCACAACATTTTAAAGCCTTTTCCTGAAGACTTCTTAAATTTTCTCCCCCACTCACCATTCTCAAACAAATGAGAAACCATGTTTCTCAGAAATTAGATAGCATCGAGAGTTACTTGACGAATATGCCACTAAAATCAAGAATTTTATATAAAAATCAAAATGGTAAAGCACAAGTACAAGACTAATAATGGATAAACAATAGAAGAATCATGAAGTTCAGGAAGACATGGCTCACTGAAGAAGAACATCAAGCAAAGTTAACTCAGACAATTGATACATAGTGACCCATTTTTGTAATCGAACAATAAAACAAACATGAAAAAGCAATTAAACACATGAACAACAAAAATGCACATACTGTTTCTTGTCAACCCACTACAATAATAATAAATAAACTTTCAAATAGAATAATCAAAGTCCTTACCTCATCATAGAACAAATTCAAGAGAAAAGTAAATTTACAGCTACACTTGAAAAGCTTCATATCAGAAAGAAAAAGGAGGGGGGGCAATTTTCAGCAAAGAGGTGCACGGCGCATGCAGAAATCCCGATGTTAGTGAAATTCAAACCGTGTCAGACATGTTTGTCGTCAAAACCTTTTTTATAATTCTTTGGAAATTGTTCAAGTGATTAAATGAAATTAAATAGAACTAGAGATATAAACGGGATCACCTGCTATAAGAATACGGTGAACGGCTCCTGTCTCTTCGACTTCTCCTGGAATACCTATGCCCTAGGGGAGATGGTGAAAGCCTCCGCCTATACGAAGGTGATCGAGATCGTGATAAATCCCGAGGCATCTTGTATCAAGAACAAATCTTCACTCTGTAAAGAAATTACTTTCGTTAGTATTAACATAATTTGTACAGCAAGCGGTCGATAAACAGCAAACAAATGGATTCGAGGAGTCAACTTCTTGTTTGATTTCACATAAATGAACAGATGAACGAGCAACCAAACAAGAAATCAAAAGATTCAACGAATAATAAAAGGTCGAACCGGACGCTGGATTCAGGAAGCAGTCCACAAAGCAGCAAAAACCCTAATATAAAGAGAGGAGTAACATAAAGAGGAATTGAAACCCTAATTAGAAGCAGAAAGAGGATGGGGCATGGAAGTTGATGTACCAAGAATGGAAGCAAATGGATTTGCAATTCCAGATTTAGGAGAAGGACCGAGGTTTGAATCTGGTTGAAGCTCTCCTCTGATGGATTCAGGAGAAGAGCAGACGCGCCTTGTTTCGCTCCTTTGTCTCTCCCCCTTCGATTGCGATGCCAAAGCTGGAACAACCAAACTTCAACTTCACCCCTTTGTCCGGTTGCACACCTTAATTCCTTTTCGCCCTAAAATTCTTCTCCTCCATTATTTATTATTTTTCATTTTTATTTTTCATTTTTCATTTTTCATTTTTGCGTTGACAAATACATTTCATTAACCTGTTTAATTAAACATTTAGGTTGACCCTCCCATAATTCATTTTGGATTTACAACCCATTTTGAAAAAACATAATCTATCACCCCACTCTTCCTTATTTATTAATAATTTCATAATTTTTAAATGTAAAATTACCGTAGTATCCTCATGTTTCAAAATCTAACATCTCCCTCCACAAATCTCTTTACAAATCTTTATTCCCTCCACAAATTTGTCACAATAATTAATTCCCTCCACAAATTTCTCACAATAATTAATTCCAACCCTAAAAAATCTAACTTTTAAAAAAAATATCTAACTCAAATAGTAAATTAAAAGTTTAATATGGAAAAAATAAAAAAAACGTACATAATTACATAATTTGGGCGAATTTAATTACAAAAAATTTGGGACAATATTGCATTAAATGCTCAAGATTTAATTGATAACAATAGGGTCAAGAGGAGAGAAAAAGAGAGAAAATGCAAAAAAAAAATCTGGAAATTGGGATCCCAGACCGGGATGGGAGGATCCCGGTCTGGGATTGAACCATCCCGGACTGGGATTGCAGAATCCCGGGCCAGGTTACTATTCAGTCCAGGATTATGCGATCCCGGTCCGGGATGGTTCAATCCCGGACCAAGATCCTTCTAACCCGGACCGGGATCCTCCCATCCCGGTCCGAGATCCCAAATTCCAGATTTTTTTTTGTGTGTTTTCTCCCTCTTAATTCCAGTTTCTTTTAGCCCTTATTGTCAATTAAATCTCGGGCATTTAATGCAATTTTTGCACGACATTTATGAAACCTTAATTTTTTTTTTTGTAATTAATTCGGAACAAATCTTATGCATTTATTCTTGGATCATGCAAATCTTTTTTTTTGTAATTAATTCCGAACAAATCTTATGCATTTATTCTTGGATCATGCAAATCTTTTTTTCACCTTAAAAAAAATGCTAAGGGTTGAGAGAAGAGATTGGTGGATAAATTTACTTAAAATAAACAAGGATATTTTGGTAATTTTACAAAGACAAAAAGTGGGAAGGGGTYACAAATTAGAACAGTAGGGGTCACAAATTAGTTTTTTTTTAAAAGGGATCAAAAATCCAGATGAGTTATATAATGGGGCTAGAAACCCCAATTTCCCAACGTTTATACCCGTTTCCTTTTAGAAAATAGAAAGGAAAGAATAGGAACAAAAATTTTCATTTCTGCCCACTGGGACAGTCTCGATTGGTTAAGACACCTGTTAGAGATGATTTCTCAACTCACACGTGGCAGATAACAATTGGACCATGAAAGCTACACGTGGCTTGCGACGCTATGCTTCAAGTTTCATCACCTCGACCTTATCTTCTATGATCGAACCGACCTCATTGGTAGCCAAGCCGACCAGACTTACTTGAAATCCTATTCCCATTTATTGGTTGAACTGATTTGTCTTACCTCGATTCAGCCACAATCTCTGACAGACTCCACGACATCACGCCGCATTTCATGGCAACCTTAAAGAGTCGTTGAAGCCTTGTCAACAACATGGTCGAGAATCTTACCTATAAATAGAACCCACTTGCTCCGTTTAAAGTACGCGAAAACTAAATTATCTTTCGAGTTTAGTTCGGCCAAATACTGACTTTAGCATCGAAGTGTGTTCTGTTTTGCAGGTCACTAGCCCAGTCCGTTTCTAGCTCGTCCTTTGAGTCACTTTTAGTACCGAGTCGAGATTCGCAATGTTGGTCAATTTCCTGATCAAACAACACTCATCGTCAACAAAAGTAGATTGAGTTTGAATCCACACTCTCATGTGTTTTACTCAAAAAGAAAAAAAATCAATTAGTGGACTTTTCTTTCTCTCATTCTTCTCTGCAACCATGTGAATCTCATTCTCATTTTTTTGTTATTCTTTTCAATAATTACTTTATAATTTTTACTATTTATTTACCTCGTGTATTAACAAAACTTATAATTTTTAATTAATTGTTTTACAATTTTATTATTTCTTTATTTATTTATATTACTAATAAAATATATTTTCTTCTTAAAGAAATTATACCATTTTTATTAGTTGATGTTATTTATTATAAAATATTTTACAAATCTTTATTTAATTTATTAGTTATTAATTTTACTCAGTTATTATTATTCAACATTGTTGAAATGGAGTTCATTATTATTAAATATTATAACTATTTTCACTACAATAAATAATAGTATTTAGTATTTATAGCATGTAATTATAACATTTTTAATAAATACGCTATAAAAAAAGGTGGGAGACAAATTTTAGGCACCTAAATTAAAAAAAAAAAATTGGAAAGCCTTATTTATGTTATGAAATTTTCCATCGTTCTCCCTCTTCTATTTTCCCTCCTTTCTCACAGTCCCCTGTCGTTGGTTGTGTTCTCCCTCTTCGATCACACAATCTCCCTCTCGCTAGTCGAATACCTAATTTCTTCTCTCGTTCGTCATTTTCCCTCCCCAATGTGTTTTTCCCTCTATCAAGTCAATCAATCGATCTCCCTCTTAGGCAGTTAAAAACCTAATTTCTCCTTTCTCCCTCCCCGGGCTTTTTCGAAATCGTCTCCCGTCTCGCTAGTCGCCTGCTTTGATCGATATCCCTCTATGCTTCTTTTCCTATCAATTTCTCCTAATTTCTCTCTTCCAATCTCTATGTTTTCCCTCTCTATCACCGCAATATAGCGTCTACCTCGGTGTATCTCTTCTAATCTTCTCTTCTGTAAGTTTTTTTTTTCCTTTCTTACAAATATCTATAACTACATCAGTTTGATTTTTTTCCCTTTTTAATCGAGGCATGTGGAACTCTCTTGAACCTTTTTTTTTAGTTTGGTGTGGGTTGTTTTGGGTCTCAAAGACTGAAATCTGTCGGTTGAAAGTTCGTTCTTATTTTGTGTGGGTTGTTCCTCTACTGTGTTATTTTTTTCTCCATTATCACTATTTAATATTTGGTAATGATACTTAGTGATTACCAAAACTTGCTGCACTGATCCTCCACGCTTTCTTGATTTTGCGGCCAAGATTGGCGGGGAGAAAGAGAGATTGAGGTGAAAAAATATAAAGAATTGAGAGATTTAAGAAAAGTCAATCTGCAGTTTTTGGTGTAACTGTATTTAAAATTACAAAGAAAAAAAAATTAAGGTTTGATAGACAGTACCCTAACATTTAAATATAGGGGAGAAGAAAAAACTCTACCAGGAAAGTTTTGAATATGAGAGAATAATGAAAATTTACATGTACGGCTACTATTTGTTTGGAAGACTTTTGCTTCACTACGACAAATTATGGTGGTATTGAGAAAACTTTGCATGTTATGCTATAATTACATGTTTTATTTTATGGACAGGTTCCTAGTGGTATTGGGAATTATTTACTTCTAAGGTCTATTGATCTTAGTGAGAATTTGTTTTTTAGGAGTCTGCTTGAGACTATGCTAAAACTTGATTTGTGTGGTAATATGATTTTAAGTAGGAATTTGTTCAAAGGAAACATTCCACAGTGGATACAAGAAATGAAGAGCCTTGAAACTCTTAGACTTCTCTAGGAACAATTTTGTTGGCCACATTCCAATTACAATGAGGAATCTTCAATATCTTCAAATTACTTTACTAGTAGTTTTCTAAAGTTTTTGACGAAATGCTAAAGCCTTTTGGCTATAGATTTCAATCATAATTCAATCACGGGTAATCTTCCAGCTATTGGAAATGGTAGTCGAGCTTCAGTTTCTTAACGTGTCTAGGAGTTCTTTTGTTGGTACCATTCCATCAACTATTGGAGATCTGAACGCTTTGAGCATTCTTGATTTGAGTAGAAATCGGCTGAATGAGAGAATTCCTGAGGCAATTGGAGGAGTGGTGGCTCTAATGGAGCTGGACATAGATGAAGATTTTCTATGGGGTGGAATTCCTACTTCAATCGGGAACTTTTTTTCCTTGCAACTTAGTAAGCTTTTGTTCTTTTTTTTCCTGTATACTTTTGATGGTTTAAATGTTCATATGCATTTCCAGAGTGTATCATAAACTAGTTTCTTGATTTTTTTAAATTTTTTTTAAAGCTTATTGATATGTTTTAAAAACCATTTATGGCATTGCAATTTGGAGAGAGTATAAGTAACAAGGTGTTTGCTTAATATATCTACTTGTTTAAGAACCATCAAAATTTATAATATTTAATAATATTGATACTCACCCATTCACCCATTCGCCCATTCACTTCATAACAGAAGAAAACTCTCACAAAAGCCCTACTATATGCTTTCTAAGCAATGGCCCATGCAACATTCAATTCACAATAATCCAGCATGCTTCCACAACATAAACAACATGCTAACAACAAAACAATATGTCAATATACTTTCACAATATAGCAATTCTCACAACAACTCAGTATGCTTTTGTGAACACAACAATACAATAATATAACTATCAATAATCCACCAACACGCCAACAATTGTCAAAATAGCCAGGACACGACAAAATCACAATATATCCCTTTTATGAATTCAACTAGCCAAAGCACATCGTTAATCTCATAACAGCCAAATAAGACTATATTCGATGTCCACGTATACTAAAATAAGAGTCAGCATATTTTCCCAATAGTCATTATCAATAGCAACATTTTTAAAGCAATATCAACTTCTAGCAATCATGCAAACAAGATTAATAGGCACACAAGTAAACACCCAATTCAAAGCAACATACGACAAACAATCCCCTCAAGTAAGAAGTTACTTACAAACAAAGGTCCTAACATGCTACTAAACTCGCCGAAGGATTCCCTAAACCAAAGGCAACCAAACTTGGGTTAGAAAGTTACTAAAACCACTTTAATTGAATCAAAATCCATTGTAAGTGAGTTGTTATCTATTAACTCACACTAAAACATCTTGGGTTAGGAGTGGGTCGAC